AGCAGGGTACATAGAAGTTGGATGCTACTGCTCAAGCCTTCCCATCTGCTTATTCCCTCTCCTACGCTTTTTCACCCTTATCGTCCCGTTCCAGCTTCACTTTTATCCCTCCGTTTACAACACCCCAATTCTTGACCTCTAACCTTGCTTTGATAGGCTTTTACCTTCTAGTTGCAACTCACATGTGAACGCGGGGCGTCATTCCTGCTCTGTCGACAAGCGCATGCCCAAGCAAGCGGTCAAGCCAGTTCATCGGCATCCATTTGGAGCCCTCGATCCTTCTTCATACTGGCATGCCTCAATGTATGCACATTGCTGCATATCGGTCACCAGGCAGTACTTGCCCGAACAATAGAGACCCTCTCGATCGATATCTGCTGCTTATCGGACACTTGCATGCAAGATTCGAGTTATGTGCTCACTTTGCCATCCCCTTCAGGTAGTACTAGCAAAAGTTTCTCATTACACCTATCTGGTAACGATGCAACTTCGAGCACCGGTGTTGGTTGTTATAACGCATTTTTCGTTACCTCTATGCCACTGACGACTGTGCTACTGCTGCTAGCTGCCCCTTGAGACTGCGACTGTCTGACTGCTCAGACACGCGCCCGGCCTACCAACGGAATGCAGAAGACCAAGGTTCGGAAGACAGAGAGGCTTATTGTATGAGAGCACGGCCCAATAAATAAGTTGTGAGCAACTACTTAAGCAACAATATTGTCGATGCTAATTGGCGTTACTTAACACAACTCAAATGGTTCAAGTTCGTGATCCAACTTGCCTCTGATTCCGCATCAATTCGCATTTTGATCTATAGTCGAGTTCGATCTCTAATTGCAGATCGATGCACTTTCTCTGCTTGATTGCTAGCTCTCTCTGTAACACCTTCCTCTCTTAAAAATTGGGTTACCTGGAGGTCACAGCTCTTCCGACGTGGGAATCCACCTAGGTCCACTTGGATCTGCGACCATGGGGGTTCGGGCTTCGGCCAAGACATCAGTGTCGCCCGTACTGGTAGCTGGTAAAGACATAAGAATCTGGAACAGGTACGACCAAGATTGCAGAGAGTAACAGTCGTTACCGAACTCACATGAGTCATTGACTCTTTGAGCAAATCTAACTTCGTAATCCGGTTGGTTCCGTGCAGCTTAACATTGGTACAGTATACTGGGTAGATTTTTCCATAGTGTAGCAAATCATTGAGTCTGCGTTCACAGGCGATTCTTCCTTTCAACTGCAGAGGTTCCTCTGAAACGTTTTGAAACCATAGAATTGTAGGTTTGACTGACGATGTGCTAAGTCTTGCCCGGGTTCCACGAGAAAGGCTGTTGAGAGCATGCAACGTTTCTGGCAGCAGCGATATGGGGACATTCTTGCATTTCACTGTGGTGTATTTCCTCTTCCCTGAAAAGTGTGTACGAAATACTGCAAAAGCCGTCTCTCTCAATGTGTCGCGATACCTGTTTCTTTTGAATTTGGGACTCGCTAGTAACTTTGGAGTATACGCGCAGCTGAGTTGGTGCGCCTTTTGCCAATGATGATTTCTGTGGGCGCAATTTCTCACAGAATGTCTCCCATCACCGTTCCATAATGCAGTCGGGAGCTTCCGGTTCGGCACATTTCCATTCACATTTTGGCCACAAATGACTGTATGACAGGGCTGGGGTTCTTCTCTGTGATCTGAAGTTGCAATCATTTCTGGGTCATGATTCAAACTGAGCAGGTTGTGGTATTCAGATACAATTTCCTGGGATTTTAACCTCGGTTCCGGTTCCCATTCCACTTGAATGTTGAGTTTTTCTGATAACAACTGAATTAACTGCCGCTGTGATTTTTCAAACTGGAGTTGTTGCTGTTGAAGAAGCGTCTGCATCTGCTCGAACGAAATCGACATGATTACCGGAACCTCCGTCGCCAGAAAATCTGTTGTAACTTTTCTTTCTTTACCTCTGCTCTCTGCCTCTGACGACTGTGGTACCGCTGCTAGCTGCCCCTTGAGACTGCGACTGTCTGATTGCTCAGTCACGCGCCCAGCCCACCAACGGAATGCAGAAGACCCAGGTTCGGTAGACAAAGAGGTATTACCCTGAGTCCCCGGGTTGAAGCTGCACTGGTTGATTTTTTCCCAACCAATAGCCGGATGTGTGCGGTCCAACTGGTTGGCTCGTGAAAAAATTAGGAGTCGCGCTGGACTACTAGACATCTGCGTGTCATCGCTGCCTGTGCCCCCACAGACAGTAGCAACGACTCGGTAAAAGACGACTTCTATCGTCAACTGAACGAGCTCCTTCGCCACAGAAGTAGCACAGACACTGTAGTGTTTGCTGGGGATCTGAACGCTCAAGTTTAAAAAGTATCCACTTATGAACTGCATCTGGGCGGCCAACATGGTGTAGGCTACCGTAATGATAACTGTAAGTGGTTACTCCATTTGTGTGAAGATACCCGCTTATTTCTTGTGAGAACTAACTTCCGACACAGCACCCTTGGGAAGGTGATATGGCGCCCACAAGCCTCGAACCAGCTATGGACGCAAATCGATCACATCGTGATAAGTTACCGATGGAGAGACTGCGTCCAAACTTGTTCCTCGATTTGGAGCACATGTGTGGACCCTGACCATGCACTCGTAGGTGCTGATGTGCTGGTGCATTTCGGCAGTCGCTTTCGACGACCCTGTGAGCGTATAGACACCAGCAAACTGGCAAAGCCAGGTGATGTGATAGTGACTGAAAGCTGGGGTAAAGGAATCGCTTGCCTCAGTGCGGTCTATCAGGCGATCGATGGAACGGACGAGCGAGTTTTTAAACACCCGGTTACTTTTTATGGAAAGTAGAAGCCCGGAATAAATTTTGTACAAAGAGGTACCTTGACGGGGAATGGAAACTCGGACGTACGGATTACCGGTCCGTTACTATACCAACTGAGCTACCGAGGACTGACGATCAGGTGCGCAAGTTAGATTTCTCACCGGCCAGTGATCGCCCTGCTCCTTGGGCTGTCCCTCTGGATCCGCCCTCTCGCTCAGAATTTGAACATGAGATCGGATTGTTGAAGTTGAATAAAGCCGCGGGGTCAGATGAGCTTCATCCAGCCCTCTTCACATTCGGGAACCTGCTCCTGTGGGTGATTTGCACAAGTTACTAGTGAAACTGGGAGCACAAAATGTCCCAGTCGACTGGAGCCACTCGGTTATTGTCCCGAACTTCAAAGGAGGCTCACGTTCGGAATGCGGCAACCATAAAGGAATCAGTCTGCTCCCCATCGCCTTCAAATTACTTGCCTAGGTAATCCTTCACACTGACTGGCGATGATGAAAACCAGACTGGTGAGAAGCAGGCCGGGTTTCGACGTGGTCGGGGATACATCGACCCCATATTCACATTACCTCGGTTGTTCGAGCATCGTCATACATATTGGCAGCCTACCGTTGTCCTGTTCCTTGACGTCAAAGATGACTTGCGTTCGGTGGGTCGATGTGCCATTTGGGACTGCCTGCTAAGGAAAGATTTGCTCGAGAAGTATGTACATGTAATCTGAAAGCTTTATGCGCGTAGCTGGGGCAGAGTAGGGGATTACGGCAAGCTGTCCTCACCCTTCTACATCTCCAGAGATGTAAGACAACGATGCCCGCTGTCACCTCTCCTCTTCAATTTCGCTATTGATGAAGTCATGCAAACCGCGTTCACAGGACACGGCTTAGGTATGGAACTGCTGCCGGGCGAACGACTTCTTGACTTGAAGTATGCTGACGATATTGCCCTGATCTGTGACAGCTCACAAACGTGCCAAGCTATACTGGGCAGATTAGCACTGGCTGTCACCCGTTTCGGACTCTGCTTTGCACCCTCGAAGTGCAAAGCGTTCCTCCAAGATTGGAGGAGCCCGACTCCTGCGCTGAGGCTTGGTAGGAATCAGCTACAAGTCGTTCAAAAGTACCACTGACAAGGTAGTTGTATCAGTGGCGTTGCAATTGTAGACGAGGTCACAAACCGTAGAGCAAAAGCACGACGAGCTTTCGCTAAACATCACCACCTGTGGCGCCGGTACGACATTTACCTGAAGGCTAGAGTGTACAGTGCAGCTGTACGTTCGACCCCACTCTACGGTTGTCAAACCTGGCCCCTTGGATCAACACACTTAAAGATGCTAGTTACGTTCGATTACCGGTGCCTTCGCCATTTAGCTCACATCGGGTGGGAACACCGTATGAGCAACGGCAGTGTTCGACGCCTTGTTTGCAGCACAGGAAAAGGAAATGAACTGCTCAGCACCGTTATTTCACGCACCAGGCTCCGATGGCTCGGCAATGTGTTACGCATGCCAGTCCAGCGACTACCGCTACGTGCATTGTTTGCGCGCCGGGAGTGGCCGGAAGAAGAGGAGGGGTGCCAACCGATGAGTTAATCGAGAGGAATGAAGGCCCTCACTTCGAAGTTGACCTTAGTTGGAGCGTACCGGCTCGCTGGTCGGGGACGGAAAGACGATGAATACGTTTGGCTGGATACAGTTGCTGACATGTCTAGGAGCCGATCTCAATGGCGTTTGTGTTTTGAGTTTTTGTCCAACCTCTCCAACCACGATCCCAATTAGTAGTCATGATCTGACTTCTTTGGGGCACAGTAGCCGGCTGTTATCTTTCCGGAACGATGCCCATCCGCTATTGGTGAGTCAGCGGCGTTTCTCTGTTTCATCTTTCTTTCTTTCTTTGGTATTGCGGTGCAATGGCTGTTTTCCACTTGCACCTAACGTGCATAATGAATGTATGACATGCACAAATTAAATAGGTAGCTTTATCATCCGTATGTTGTAAGCAATATGACGCGAACTCCATGCATATTTGGCGCATGATTGTCGGTTTGGGAAAGCATTGATTATCCTGGATGCAGAAAATTTATGTACTTTAGGTAGAAACGTCCTCAGTGTTGCCATCCAAAGAGTGCACTCCAGTGTTAAGAAGGAAAAACACCGAAAACGTTTCACCTTGGATGCAGCTACACAGTTCGAAGCGACAGAAGGCTACCTAACGTGGTTCGTGGTCTAACTTGGCATAGTGTGCCACGCTCCAAACTCGCGATGGACACGCAGTAACACCCCATAATAATTTTGGTTGCATCACTTTTAGTCATCCGAGGACGCGAAAAATTTAGACCAAGCAACCGGATTGTATTAATTGGACCACTGCGATTAGGGAAACAGACAAAGTTTGTACCCAATTCGCCGCTGATTACCATCGAGAGAAACCTGACCCAAAAGTGGTACAGTGGACCGCATGCATTTATAATCCATTGAGTGACGCTGGTTGATACGTTCAAATTTGTCTCCACAGTCACCCATGTGGCTACGAGCAACGGCTACAGGTCAGAGAAATTTAGCCGTAGCATCCTCGGCATTCGGAGCCAGAAGAAATGTCGATGGTCCTCTTCACTGAAAACACAGATAGGAATCCCGAAGGTATACGGCGCAACGGCCGCCCATCGCTCACTGGCTTGATGCCGTTCAGTTCAAAGTAAACAGGACCTAATCAACACGAGCATCTGTCAAATTGCGCCTGTGGTTGATCAGTCGAAATTCCCCTTAATAGTTCTGAAGCGTCTGTTGTAGTTAGACCCACCTCAGGTTAAACGCAGTGAACCCGTGCAATCACGCTCCCTAGTTATATCTAACCGTACTACCTTAAGTCAACGACATAGAGTATGGTCTCCCGAGCAAACCGTTGCGGTCACTATTTATTGGGTCAGACCATCAAGTTAGCGTTTAGAGACGAAAGCTGTTAAGAAAAACTTCCCGCTCGGAATGAGCAACCACAGAATAGCACATAAACCAGAATGCCATCTGTGTCCTTTTCCGCATTCTGGTGATAGGCGACTTCCAACTTTTTAATTTGCGTTGAAGATTTACGCATCGATTCTTTCAACGTTTGCGCGCTGTGTCAGGTTGGTTAGCAGTCAACATAATTTTGTCTCTCACCTTGTTACAATTTGTATGTGTCGCGTTATCGAAACGCACATCAGGTAGCATCGTGACACTGAATCTGCGAGTACATAGGTGGATTCTGCTAACCATGATGCATTATTCGCCTCCCTTGCAATAACTAATTGATAACCCGAGGCGCCCATTATTTATAGTGCAATCAGTAAAACGTCCAGAGTTAATTTACTAGAGTGGAACTTCGTGTGAATTCACCGAATGTGTGCAGTTCTACTTTGGGTTTTCATACAAGTTAGTAGACAGCACCAAAAATGTGGCCTTTTACTAGCTTCGAAGCATATCTAAACCGAGTGTACATCTGCTATCGAAGGTTCTTCTACCGCCATTTACTATCGCCTACTCGGATAACTGAGAATGCAGATATTGTCATCGTTGCTGGGGTCATGAAAGATTGGTTAGGCTGGATATCATAGGGATCTAACAGCTCTAGGAACTGTTCAGAGTACATACATCATCGATATCGTAAACATCAACTAACCGCAGCTCACACTTCAGACGCACAGCGCTGTACCACAAAGTGCTCATCGGACAACACACTTCACTGGGTCCAAATTGACTATATTATCATCAGCTACGGATATTGTACGTGGCTAGGAGCCGACTTCAGTGGCTTTCGTGCTGTGAGTTCCTTTTCCTACCCCATCCCATCCCTCCAACCACGATCTCATTATTAAGCATTTTATAATTTTGCATAGATGATTAGTATATTTTGCTGCATAGTAGCCGGCAGGTAGCTTACCGGAACGATGCCCATCCGTTACCGGTAGCTCAGCTGGCTTGCACCTGTTGCATTTGATTCCCTTTTTTCTTTTAGTTATTGCGGCACAGTTGCTGAGGTGCTTCCCACCTCTAGCTAACGTGTATAGTGTGTGTGTGTGTGAGCGCAAGACCCGAAGTGGGCAGAAATTAACTTGGCAGCATGAAATGAATTCACTGACGACTCAGCTCGGTGCCGTCGGTCCGTCTTGCCTTCCAGGCTGGAGTCCACGTGACCGCCTTGTGCTTGGCTTGTGACGTTACAGGACATGGATCGCAGACGACACCAGTGACCTGTCTACTGTCATCTAGTCCGGTCGTCTGTTTAAAGTCTGCTTGGTGCTGAGTTATCTGCGGACTAATGACTGATTATGACGCTGAGCAGTGAAAGCCGCAAGGAAGCTGTCTCGCCGATGCCGCCTTATCTTTGCACGATAGCAGGCTGTTTGTGACGGTATGTTGTTGACAAGGTGTAGGCGCCTTGAACTTTTAGTGTTTGTTTAGAGTAATAAGGTATTACGCCAGGTCTCCGTCCTCTCCCTGTTGTTGTTCTTCCTTCCGTAGGTCACCGAGGTTGTACGGCAGCGAAGCATCAGTTCAAATGGCTGATGTACTGCTGCTGCTGACGCTGATGATGATGGCCAACATGTTTGCAGATAGTTGAACTGGTTTCTGTTTGTGATAACTTACCAAACCTCTTGGCACCAGCTTTTCTGAAAGCTTTGGCATGTCCAGAATAGTTTGGATAATAAACACAACCCGCTCCAGTATCTGGGCGGTCTTTCCAGTGGATATTCGCCGGTCCTCTATAATCAGTTTATAGACATCCTGGATCAGTTGAGTTTAGGAGACGTCCACTGCGCAGCTCATCTTGAATATTGAGATGACCAGTCTTGAAGTGTGATATCCAGGTTTCCACAATGCTGTTTGTAACACCTCATTATGCATTTCCTTCTCAAACGTTTTTGAATTAACGGAAACTTCATGATGTGCAACTTGCTTCTGCTTCTGCCATCACAGCTTCTATCTAAAACAACAATTCGTCGGAACGATGAACACCTGAGCTTTATATAGTTAGATCGTAGAATATTAAGGTCTCATGTGCCTGTGCATTCGTTTTCTTATTTTGTCTGGAAGAGAGCAGAGCCGGGAACCTATCAGCACCCCCTGTATATAACGGTGGTGGTCAGGACCAGTCAAACTCCAGTCAAAACAGACGTGCTGTGTGTGCCAAGTGCCCGCAGTTTCTCATGTGGGTCCAGCCATAGCAGCCGCTTGTTCACCGGCTCATTATCAATTACACGATAGCTGGGGGTGAGAAACATGCCTAAGCTAACGGGCCGCAATACAACAAATAAGATACCAAAATAACACCACAAAGTGCATAAAATCAAGTAATATACTACTAAAAATATCATATTATTAACTAGGTTTGAGATCGTGATTTGAGTGGGAATCTAAAGGATAGGGGGATGGACAAAGTAACCCACAGCACAAACGCCATTGGGACAAGCTATGTAAGCGAGTGTGTCTAACAAAACGTGCTCATCGTCCTTCGGACCCCAGGCCGTCAGTCGGGATGCACCAACCGTCGCCAACTTCCTGTTCAGTGACTCAGTAAAGTTTCTTTTGATTTGCCTACTTTTATTGTATGAACGTTTCCGGCAATAAAATGATTAACTTGTCCTTTCCGACGTTTGTTCTCACTGTATGATTCTGTCTGCGCGACGAGTGTCCACTGTTGAACAGCAGAACATGTTGTATATTCGATACCATGTTTCAGCCTATGGTGCGCTGAGGCTGGTGGTGGCTAGATCCTGACAGATGGTCTACACATTGCTGCTGCTGTCTTGTCATGGTCTCGTGTCCTGGACGCCTTCTCGTGGCGACCGCTGGGTTGGAGTTGGTAACGTCCGTCTCCCTGTTAAGATCCATGACACCAATCTGCCTGCGTCAGTAAAATGTTCATGTGCTAGACCCGCTGCCTTTCGGGTGTACATTTAAGCGAATGCTTTGACTGAGGACCCGAGTCGTGTGGGCCCCTGACAGTATCCTAGTCCATCCTCTTCGGAAGTTAGGAAGTGGTCGATGGCCCTCTTCCCGTAGAACCTAGCCATGGGAGACAACAAGTCTACGAGTTACAAGCTCACTGCTCGATTTGCGTAGAGCACGAGCGCCACGCATTGTCTCTGACGGTGGGAGGGCACCTCCGGGTGTTCAATGGTTTGCTACTGCCCTCGTCAACATCAGGCAGCGCCTGGTCAAATTGGTGCAGGTCCGTCAAAACCTACCTGCGTCTGGCCGTGGTCGCAGGTGCGTATCCTACTACGGTCGCGAAACATATATGAATCATTCCAGTATCTCAAAGACTGCGTGTGGCTGCCACTCAGCAGACCCCAACCTGTCCGCAATCACGTTCCCGAGCTAGATCTGCTCACCACTGCATTGTGGGACAGGCTATTGAGCAAAATGTTCCGAGCGAAGTCCCTCAAGCAAACCTCCGAAGCACAACGACCACCTCGCATGCGATTGCCCGCCAATGCAATCGCATGCCTGCGCGCAAAGCACTCAACATCGGGTGCTGGAACGTACGCGCACCACTGGACCGGAACTCCATTGAGCGCCCGGAGCAACGCACTGCACTCGTAGCGATGGAGATGGCGCGCTACCACATCGATATTGCAGCGCTCAGCTGAGCAAGGTAACTTCCATGAAGCACGTGATAGCTTCACATTCAATTGGGTGAGCAACGGCGCCTCAGCACCACGTGAACATCGGGTCGGATTTGCAATATCCGATCACCTCCATGGCCAGCTGATCGGTGAACCAACGGGCATCAGCGTGCGGCTGATGACTGTTCGCCTACGACTCGGAAGAGGTAAGTTTGCCACCTTTATAAGCCCGTACATTCCGACCATGTGTTATCCTGATGACGAGCGTGATCTGTTCTTCAATCAAATATCCTCCGTAATACGGTCTGTACCGAGCAGCGACCGACCATTTTTGCTGGGTGATTTCAACGCGCGCGTTCAGCATGATGCATCGGTGTGGATAGATGTTATCGGTCGGCATGGCATGTTCAACCAAGCGGACAACGTCAGTTCATCCGTTTCCGTTTGGAGTCCTCCATCCTCGCTAACACAGGCATGCCACCACCTGCTCACTTTGCTACAGATTTACCAACAGGCTGCACTTACCTGAGCACTCGAGATCCTTTCGATCAATATTTGTAGTTTATCGGAAAGGCGCATGCAAGCTTCGAGTTCCGTGTTTAACTTGCGATCCTTCACCTGTGACACTGACGATACCTTCTCATTGCGCCTGCTTGGCGATGACGCAGCTTCAAAGACAGATCAAGCTGGCTTCGGCGTTGTTTTGAGTCTCCGGGCTGAAGATGCCTTAATCGATTGGATCCCATTCGACAGGTAGATGCGCGCCAGTAGATTAGCTACCTCGTTCCAGGTTTGGAACTCGCGCGCGGATAAAC